TCCCCAGGTATGTGGTATTAGCTCATCTAGTCAGAGGTAAAGGCTGCTGGGTACTTTGTTGAAACCTCCCCAGGTATGTGGTATTAGCTCATCTAGTCAGAGGCAAAGGCTGCTGGGCACTTTGTTGAAACCTCCCCAGGTATGTGGTATTAGCTCATCTAGTCAGAGGCAAAGGCTGCTGGGTACTTTGTTGAAACCTTCCCAGGTATGTAGTATTAGCTTATCTAGTCAGAGGCAAAGGCTGCTGGGCACTTTGTTGAAACCTTCCCAGGTATGTAGTATTAGCTTATCTAGTCAGAGGCAAAGGCTACTGAGTACTATGTTGAAACCTTCCTCATTTACTCATCTCTGATCAAACTAGATTCCTGCCCCATACCACAGTGTGTGTGGAAGGTGAGTATGTGTCTATTATTTTGAGATGTGAAATTAAACAATGTTATCACATCTTGTCACTTGTCACCGGTGAGTTCTTTATTACTTTTAATAATTTTAATTTTACAATTCCGTAAAGTGACAGAAAAATACATGTGTTTTCAATTTAGTATAATTCATGAAGTTGTGATTCTCAAATCAGTGACATTATTCCATATTTCAACAGAATTGCGATTGGCATCAGTGCATGAATGTCATTTATTTGTCTTTTATAAACATTGTTTTAGTGATTAACACTATGATACCCATATGAAGGATTGGCTATCTGTTTATAAAAGATTCGTCTCACAGCTTGCCAATTTTCTCATATGTATATCTTGCATATGTTTAAAACAAATTCCATTGAAGGCATCACAAGTGTGTTATGCCACTTTTGTTCTTGAGTTACAATGATGAGTTGTGTTCTTTGCTTACCAGCTGCGTGGTGGTTTGACAACGAAACCTTACATACTTGGATTAACTGGTGGATCTGCTAGTGGTAAATCATCTATCTGTAAAAGATTACAGACTCTGGGTGCTGGTGTGATTGACTGTGATAAGCTGGGTCACAAAGCGTATGAGCCAGGAACAGAGGCATATAGAAATGTCATCCGTGCATTTGGAGAAGGTACAGTTATTGCTATTTCACAATGTCAGGGCTGGGGCCATAATAAAAGCCGAAATTTCTAAGACAAATATAGCTTGCAGTGATGAATAAAATTTACATTTGTTTTGTATGACATGTGAAATGCATATACCAGTATTTGTATGCAGTATATGTAACCTAGGTGTCTTTCACAGTCTAAGTAAATTAATATGTAGTGGGCAATGCCTGATAATCAAGCACAGCCGAGTAGTTTATCAATTTATTAACAATAGAATTGACGAAACCATAGAACGTTGAAGTGTGTGAACAGTTATGAGGGACGACGTCAAAAGATCAATGTCGGATAAAAAACTTAATTCCTTTAGTTTTTTCCAAACCCCCCTACCCCCCCACTGAAACTTAATTGATAAATATTGGTCATGGCGTCAGACTACATTCACCATTAAATACAAATTGATAATCGGACAGTAGTATTGCATAGCAGTTGGTTGTCGGGTGGGTGTAAAAAGATTTTACAAATACACCTCATTTGACG